CCCCCCCCCCCCCCCTTTTTCATTTCAAAGCCCTTACAAGAGAAAGGAACTCATTCCAATTCAACGAACAAAATTACTTGCAACGTACCGCACGGATGACCACCATGGTCATCAAAAAGGCAATAGTTCTTAGAAATATCTACACGGCTAAATTCAAAACGCAAATCTTCGAAAATAGAGGTAACAAACCCCCTTTTTGGAAACGCTACATAGACGACACAATCTCTCTCATGTACATTAACAGAGATGTCGTTAACCAGTTCATCGAACAAGCTTAAGCAAATGAACATCACACAACAATCAAATTAACAGCTGAAATATCTGTTTCAGAAGCTACTTTCTTTGACACAACTATCTATATGGGTAAAAGATTCAACAGGGAATCAGTTATCGATATAGGAACCCACTTCAAACTAATAGAGACATCCAGTACACGTTCAACACAACGTGTCACCCACCGGGAGCAAAAAGCTTCGCTAAAGGCGAAGTGTTACAGCTCCTCAGGACTAATTATTCAAAATAATAATTTTTTTAAAACACACTAGGCAGGGAGAGGCAGAGAGATGCAACCCGAAAAACTTAATTAACCACACACTCCTAATCTTTTTGCTTCATTATATACCACCATATGCATGTCATGTCTCTTCTATTAAATCTCGTTTTAGCTTTAAAGTAGTCCCATTGAAGGTTCCATGGGGCTCTACTGTTGAAATATTCTGTAATAAATTACAGACGTGCCAAATTCAGAATTCAAGATTCCCGTAAGAATCTTCGTTTTCGTAGTGTGTCTTATGCACACAACCTTTGTCCACAAAGGTAATACCAACCTCTTTTGAACTTGTTTTAGTAATGTGTCTTCGTTTTCGTGATGGGTCTTCGTTTTCATAATGGGTCTTCGTTTTCGTAGGGGGTCTTCGTTTTCGTAATGCATGGATCTTCGTTTTCGTAGGGATCTTAGGTCTTCGTTTCCGTAACTATCCCTTCGAAACAGAGCATATCCCAGTCTCGCCTTCCTCTTTCGTCCCGCATCCCACCTTTAAAATTTCTCGTATCCCACATCTCGCCCCAATTTTAAGCCTCATCTCGCGTCCCGCCAAACCTATGTTGGATCCTCTTTTATCTTGACTGGCGACGGTTGTTGATATGGCTCTATCTCTTCGCAGAATTTGGACTTCACACCTCCAACATTTTCTGAGGAAATCGATACTGAAATCATGAATACAGCTTTCTCAATTCTAATCATGCAGGTCGTTTCAAATAGCCCATTGCGGAGCTTTGAAAAGGCCCACTGAGTAGACGAAAAAATACCATAAATGACTCGATTGACATTTCATCTAACTTAAGTGAGATATTTAGACAAACATATAATTCACATACCAAATTTCAGAGCTGTATTCGTAACCATCATAGATTTTTTTAAAGTCAACAATGTGCTATAACCACGAACACACGTGTGATCTGTCTGTTCTGAACCACTGCCCTAAGCGATTTCCGTCGTCCTCTGGCCACTAAGATAGAAGGCGCGAATGCGGGAAATCTGAAAATGGCGTTTATGGGCTTCCTTACCTTTGTAAAAGCAAGTAACACAATTTTATTGATAACAGGAGCATTATCGTTGCCTTTGTATTTTTCATACTTTGGTACTGAAGCAGCAGTGAGATTTTCTTTGCTTTTGTGTGTACATTCTGCCATACTCGCCGCAATACCGGATGTTGTAGTGAGTCTAATCCTCGGTTAATTAATTATAAGTTATGTTTTGTTTAAAGATTCTCAAAGCCCTGTTCATATCTGTCCATTTTAGCCCTGTCAACTAGTCTGGTCAGGTTTCCGAGATCCAATCCCTTCACTCATTTCGTTGTGGAAACTGTGATGTGTTCCCATTATTAATTGAGTGACCCTGTCCTCGACTGTGTATTTTCTGTTCAGTAGACCTTGAGGTTCAGAGTGCTTGTAGATGATAGCGATTATCACAATAGAGAACACTACTTGGTAAAATTTCCGCACAGCCCCATACTATTGTAAAACAAATCTGTTTTCCCAATGGCAATGTATTGTTTTAGTCATTGTTTTCTCTATTCAAGAACTTAATTTGCATAATGAAGTACGGGGCTGTGCGGAAATTTTACCCACTACTTAAGTAGGAGTGAAAAAGGACCTTAACAAAAAACCAACAGTGTTCATTACTGCAAAGATCGCTTTCATATTCTCTTCTTTGTCTGCAGTTCTCATTTATGATTTTTATATATATTCACAGTCTTTGTGTGCTTGTATAGATTGTTAACCCTCTTCAGGTCTCAGGGGAATTCCAAGCTTTATCTTTTGTAATTATGGGTACATATGCACGTGAATAAGATGAAATTTGTGATAGTGTAGTCTGATTGTCTGAGTGAGTGTAGTCCTGAGAAGGACTGTTGTCAGTAGTGGTGACTAATGCTTCAACAACCTGAGTGGAAGTCATTATCAGGGTCAGGTGAATAGTTGTTGCAAGTTGAATATTCTAAGTCCAGTTCTTATAAACTGATTGGTCAGTTTTGCCATAATATAATTGACTGTAAGACTCAAGTGGTCATGATTGGTTGGTTTTGATCTGTTGGTAAAATTAGGTCAACCTGTTTGGTTTGTTTGTTTTTTAAGCCATTTGTATGGTGAACCTGTTGCGGGGAGTTTGTTTTAAGTTAGTAAACCATCTTTCCAGAGTCAGTCACTGAAAGTAGTTAGTGCTGTAGGTTGGGCATTGTGCTGAGTCCCAGTCAATATTGTGTTTCATAAGGCGCTAATTTTCAGCAATGTGATTGTTGACATCACCTTTCCTGGTTGCCTGCTTGTGTTTAGTCTGTCTTGTTATGAGGTTTCTGCTAGTCTTGGTTTAGTTGAATTGAACATTTGCTTAACATCAACTTACTTTCAGTGTAACATTAAACACTACAAAATACAGCTATGAGGTCTCTGGTTTCTGTTGTTGTGACACAAATTGTGATGTAGAAAAGGAGGAACACACCCTTTTGATTTTCCAACAGATGATACCATCTTGGATATCTTGCGTTAACAATATATTCACTGCTATGCAAAAAAATAAAATCAATGCAGTACACCAGATGAAACACTGACATACAGTTTACCAGAGAAGTCAAAGGAAATGGTAAACTTCCTCTTCTAGGCTGTCTAAACCATGACTACAACTTGCTATATACAACAGTTTACAGGAAACCAACATACACTAGCAGATTACGAGACAAGTCATCCTACAACCCATCATCACACAAAGCCACAACTATCAGGACTCTAACACAACAAGCACAAATAGTATGCAACACAACACACAGCTTATCCAAAGAGAAGAAATACCTTGATTATAGATTTTTTATTATAAGACAGAATGTATTTTACTTCTTGGAAGGTTTAAGGTTAATAAATGGACAAAATCTAAAACAAAGTAGATCATGATCAATTTAAAGTGAACACATTCTTTACATTTTAAAAATCAGTCCTTCCTGTTCAAACAAGTACTTATTTGCCGTCATCCTCTCCATGCATCCTCAGAGAACACTTAAGGCCATATTCAAACACAAAAACTGTGGTGAATTTAAATGTGTAATCTGCTCTTTTTTATTTTTTGTTCACCCTTTAGAAAGCTGCAATACCTATGCTACAGTTGCTGTCATTTGCTGTTCTCCTTTTCCTCCCTTTCAACACAGCCCCAACCATTGTGGTCTGGTGCTATCTGAAGCTTCTTCAGTGTTCAGAATTTGCACTTTTGTTTGTTGAGGCAATACAAGTTGTTTTAGTGGTGATGTACATCAGTCAATCTTTTGTGAATGAGATTGAAGACCAACCAGTTATAGTTAAGGTATTCTATCTAACTAAGCCTCTGTGGGCCTTCAGCAACAGCATTTGGGTCCCTTTTCATATTTACAGTGACTAAGTAGTCTTAGTTCTTTTTTTTTCACTTTGTCTATTGTAAGCAATGACTGAGATTGTGTATCTTCTGTGAAATCAGAAGCTACATGTAAAGGTGATTTTAGTTCAACTTTATGTTAATTATTTAAATTAGCAATTTAACAATTATTTACCAAAGTGGAGGTGAATGATAATGGTTATCTACTGAGATGCAAAGCAGTGAGGTAACTATCCACCACTGTCCCCAAAACTGAGGTGAATAGTCATTTTAATATATTCCTTGCATGAACTAAAAAATAAGTTTATTTCAGTCAATGAACCATAAAATGGTTGGAAATTAAATTGCTGATGCAGAATTTTTCCTTTAACTGGATGGAGCAAAACAGTACTTGCTTATTATTTCTGCACCTGTCAACCAGTGCCCTCTAAAAGCACTATTTACCTGTGTGGTAGATACAAAGAATAATTATTATTATTTTACATACAGTTAACATGTGATTTTATTCATCCAAGAGTGTACAACCTCAGTTGCCTGTTTGTTTTTCAGACTTCCATTTTAGCAATCTCAGGAGTTGCATACATTTTGTCAATATATCTCAGCTATCATTTGTTCACAGATATTCACTCAACACACACAGAAACTTGGTGAGTCTTAAGCTTTCATTTTTGATGGAATAATAATTGTCCAAGGGTTCTAATTACACTCATTGGAAGGGCCTTATTACTTGGAAAAGAAGCTTGATGTGTCTTAGTTCCTGGATATGGCTTTACAGAATGTAACCCTGTGCTAATTGTATCACATTGACTGACTGTATAGGGAAGATTATTTTCTTCCTATGTTTTTCCACATTCGCCACATTTGTAGATTCTCAAATAGACTCAATGGAGGCTCCTCCAGAATTTCCAAAATATATTTAATAATTATAAAGATTTCCAAAGATTTCCAAATGACTCCAAAGGATTTTCTTTCAAAGCTTCTTACAAATAATTTCTTTTTTCAAATACTCCTGTTACAGGTGTGCAGGAGTTGCAGTCATTTTAACAATTTTGGTGTTATTTATTTGCTTGTATAAGGAAGAAGGCAAGTAGCTCTGATAGCAACAAGCTAAATGTAGTGAGAATTCTGGACAGTGATTTACTGGAGTGTGGTCTTTTCTTCATCAGAGAACCATTCTATTGATCAGTGCATGCAACCATGCACAGACTTTTAATCAGAGGAGATATATTCAAATGGCATAAATAACTAAGAATGCAAGTCACAGATTCTAGTCAAAGGAGATAAATTGGAATGGCTGAATTAATTAAGAGTGCAAGTCACAGTTTGGTTAATTGTAATAGCAGATAAAGTAACAGTTATGAGTATGCCTTGGATAAAACCTATACATGTATTCACTGATTTATTTAAGAAATAGACCACATTCTACATTGGTGTTGCACTGAAATTAAGCCCACACAGGATATTGGGAGAACAGGAGGAAATTTCGTAAATCATGAACCATAGAAAGTGCAGTCTGGTTCATTGGTAAAATATATGGAGCCAATGTCAGTATTTATCTATTTATTTATATGATGTTTGAGTTTTACCTGCCTATGTTTATTAGACAAATGTTGAATATTTGACCTACTTAAAAGAAAAATATATTTTTATTGCATTTCCTCTTTTCTTTCTGTATTCCTTCAGGTATCATATCTGATGCAGCTGTTGTTAGCCTTGTGATGATTTTTATTGTTTGGGTTATGAAACAGGAAAGATTGATGCAAGAAAATTCCTTAGATGTGC